AGAGATTTTAGGCCATGTATGACTCTGGTTATTTCTGAATTTTTCTTTTGGAAATTTGACAGGTTGATGTGTTAAGTGTGGTTGTGAGAACCGTTGAAATAAGTAAGGTTTATTGATTAGTTTTTCTCATGTTATATCATGAAAGCATTATGCTAGTTTTATGTTATGTCCTAAAATAGTATTATGAAAATTGGCAAGCTGTCTTACAAACAACCCAAGCCCCTCATTTACAAGAGGAAGAAGCGTGCTTCACAATGTGCTGTTAACTGGCTCCAGGTTCTTGTTGTGCGTGTGTCAGAAAAAGAGCATTGACATTCCTGTCTTCATTCATTCATTCATTCATTCAGCATGTGTGTGGTATTTGACATATAAAGCAGCCTTATTTCAAGAACAGCATCCAAATAATGATTGATTTTAACATACTTATTTGGATGTTAAATAACTCCTTGGTGGAGAACAGAAACACCTTTTCTACTCCCAAATATAGTAGCCTCATTCCATCGCTACATTATTCAGTCCCTCTTCTTTGAGCTCATGGTCTGTACAAGGTACCATTTGATCGATGGACATTGAATTTTTTGTAAAGCATTACCTTCTCAATTTGAACTTATTACCAAATGTTTATATTTCTCTGATGTCTTGTCTTTTCCTCACCTTTTCGAGTGCCATAGTGTTGGAGAATACGGTCATTACCACTTCTAAAATATGATAGTCTTTTAATTGGCTTCTATTCTCCTAACAGGCTTTGCCTTTATTTCTTCCAGCTTCAATTTTTTTTCAGTCTTTCATTTCTTTTTCTCTTCCTTGCATTTCTTCTCATATAAAGAAAGACACAAACACAAAACACAGCTATTTCTGGAATTTTCTTTCTAAGACTATGTATGCTGCCAGTAACATTAATTAAATAATTTATGAATCTAGCTATCCCAGGCTAGACGTCATTGTAGGTATCACAGAGCCTTTATTTACAAAGTGTAACCTTTCACGAGACTTTGAAACTAGTCAGGGAGGAACCGATAATGAACAGATAATGAACAAACAAGGACCGCACAGTATTAGGTGGTGGTTGATACTATGAAGAAAAATGAAGTAAGGTCAGAGGATAAAGAGAGCTGTGCCATCCTGTTACACAGAGCCATCTGGGAAGACCTCTCTGATAGAAGGTTGAGGAAGTGAGTGTATAATATGAGGAAGAATATTCTAAGTAGAGGAAATGGGAAGTGCCCAAACCTTGGAAGTGTGCTTGTAATTGCTGAGCAAGGCAAATGACAACAGTTTGAAAGGGAGTCAAGGAGAAAGTGGTGTATCTTTTGGGCAATGGGAAGGATTTTGAATTTCACTTGTAGTAATGTGAAAATCAGTTGGGAAATCTTGGCAGCTGAATAGTATTTTCTTACTTATTAATTAGTTATTTAACACTCATGTTGCCAGGTACTATTTTTGGGGGTGTGGCTATAGCAGAAGGCACTCTGGTGGCACAGTGGACTAATTATTGGGTTGCTAACTGAAAGGTAGGTGGTTGGAACCCAGTCACTCCGACTTTTTTAAAGATTAACATACTTGGAAACCTCTGGAGCAGATCTACTCTAGTCTGTAGGGTCGCTGTGATTTGGAATTGACCTGTAGGCAGTGGCTTTGAATGCATCATTTACTAACAATTCTTTTCTTGTCTTTTTTTTTTTAATTTAAAGGTGTTTATTCCTGATCAGTATAGGTCAGATGCATACACACAGAGCCGTCAGAGACACTAATGTTTGGCCAACCTTAAGATTGTGCTACAACACTGTGCTACAATCAGATTTTGTGGCACACAAAATTTGCTGAGGGCTCCATGTGTAAGGTAGATTTGAGAAGGGGAAGTAGCAAGAGCAACTCCTTGGGTTAGAGGTAAGATTTCAGTCTGTGGCTCTAGCCCTATCACCTACCCTAGCATCTTCAATACTGCCTCTCCTGCTAGAAAAACAATGCAAATAAATTTGACTTAAAGAAGTCAAAAGGAAAAAAAAAAAGACCAACAATAAAATTTAAAAAGGAAAATAATCAACTTTCTAACTTTTACTAATTTAGAAGTAGACTAATAAACGTTTGGAATGAAGGAACTTCCAGAAAGGTGGTGGAGAACTAGCCAGATGCACTATGAATCTGTGCGACATCGCATAAAAATAATGAACACGGAGGACATCATGCTGAGTGAAATGATTAAATAACAAAGGACAATATTGCGTTATTATAAAGAGTTAAAAATGTTTTTCATTAAAGGTACAGACATTGGTGGTGACCAGAGGGTGGGAAGAAAAGGAAGGTAAAGTAAGGGGAAGTCACAAGCTAGAGAGTAGACAAGGGTTAACTTGAGTGGATTGGGAAGACAATATTCAACAAGAGGAGGATGGACACAAAGTGATGGAAATAGGGCTAGACATTGGGAAGTTTGATGAGTTGGATGTAAAACTGATCATTTGTGAAGTCTCACCTAAATAAACAAATTTATTGTTTTTTAAAGTTTGAAACTAAAAGCAGTTTCTTTGAGTTTTGTTTTGGATTTTTAAAATTTTTTTACACCAAGTTTGGTGCACTTACCCACACACATTGAAAAAGTATGTGCCTGGGAATAATGAGGGCAACAAATGTATAGATGTG